CGGGTGTAGGTGTGGGTGTGAATAGTGGTAAGACACTCATCAATACCCACACCCACACCCTATTTCCAAAATCTACAAACAGTACCGTTTTTACATTACTTTTTTCTATTCACAATTGATAAAATGAAAAATTTAATTCCATAGATATGTCTGAAAAACAAAAAAAAAACAATAATATATACTATATTATCAGCTGCATATTTTGAGAGAAATTCTTGGCTACTGAAGCATATGCCTCAACATTGTTTTTTTTTATATATATCCACAATCACGAAGTAATAAAACCTAATACTGAATAGCATCATTAACATTGCATATAATTTTGAGAGTTTTATACTCATTATATTTCTTTAAATTTGTCAATATAATTGAATACATATCATTGATAGTTTGCTATATTTTTTTTTACAGAAAAATATTTTGATAATTGGAGAACGTGCTTATCGAAAAGATTTATTTCATACAGTTATTCTTCATAATAATCGAATAATATTTATTCTTTTATTACATTTATTATCTACTCATAATTGATACATATGATCAAGAAAATTCAATTTGACCTTATAATAGATTTTCATGAATATAATCACATCAATATCTCAATTATTCTTAAAATGGAGATCTCATTTTCTACAAAAAAAACTCAATCTTCTAGAATTTGATAATTTCTCAAATCCTATACATCAACACTTACAATGATAGCAAGATTAATACGTTCGATGAATCAGTTTTTGTAATCAAATGAGAAGTTTTCATTAAAAGGAATTTGAGTTGATGCATTAACTTGTCTTGGATTCTTATATCAAGAATTTTGAACTCGAAAAATTATCAATATTAAGTTTCAAAACAATTTCACAAAGTACACTTGAAAAATCTCTTTTCGTTTCTTTTTGCAAAAAATTATTCACTGAAAGTTTAGTTATGTACGTGAAACTAAGAAATTTTAAAATCTTTTACAAAACAGAAAAGAAAGGCAATAACTGATAATTACTTTCTATAGTATCATCTGATAAATTATAAAATTTTCTGATTATATTTTCTTTTTCTTTTGAAATTTAAAAAGAAAAGCACGGTTAAGTTACTTATGTAATTTTACATTTCTTTTTATTTAAGTTCAATTTATTTATACTTTTTTGTATAATAGAAATGAATAAATAGAAAAAGCCTATCGTCTCAGAAAATTCTTTTTTTTTTGCATTGTTATTATCAACTAATAAGCGCTCGAAAACATCAACTATCGAATCAGTTTCTGGTATCGGAGTACGACTCATATACCGTCCTTATTTATACACTATAGTTCATTATCAAAAGAAAGTATTCAAGGCAGAGTGATAAAAAAACTACTAATTCTAAAAATCTATTTTTGAGACAAGAACATTGTATATTGCGAAATCATTATATTTTGGATTTATCGATAATTAAATAATTAAATACTTGTTCGACTGCCCTCATTTATAGAGAAACGTCAATTTTTTTTTGTTTTTCGTTTTGTTAGGATTTCATCAACCAATCAGTTTCATTTTGTAGAAGATGTTTTGAAAAATAAAATGCGATATAATGAGAAGATAGAAAAATAAATTAAAACAAAAACTACCATCGAAATAATAAAAAAAAGGTACTTTTTGAAGAAGAAGAAAAAAACATCTTTTGAAATTTCTTTCGTTTGTCATAGATATTTCAAGGATATTTAAATTTTTGAGATTTAGAAAAGTTTTAGGAGCAAAGAGAAGAATAAAACTTTATATTTTTCCTAAAAATGAAGCATTCATTCATAATAGGAAAATGAGTTAGGAAAATAATTTCTTTTTAAAAAAAGATCAAAAACAAAAAGAAAACTCAGCGTATAAATCACTATTGTATTGTATGTTGTCGTCGTTCGAGTATATTAATTATGATGATTACTGACTGATCTTAAAACATAAGATTTCTTTTTGTTAGTGTAATCCTCTTTTTAACAAAAGAAAAATAAAACAATATCCAGAGAACTTTGAACAATTTTCATTTAAACTTGAAAATTAAATAGAATCATCTCTTATAGTGATCGACAAATCTCATGATATTTCTATAAATATTATCTTAGAAGATAATGTAATTATGTAATAGTATTTTTTTCGTATAAATCAATCGATTTTCTAATAACTATTTATAGATATACGAATGAAAAGTAGATTCGATTTCAAAAAGAAAGAAAAGCTGAAAATAATTAGCACTAATATCCGTTTCAAATTAAAAGAAGGGTGAGTATTTTTGGAATAGTTTTTGACAGGAACTAGATAGAGATCTGCGATTTTCACCGGTTAAAAGAGGATATAAAACTTCGTCGAATTTTTAATACGGGATTTTTCTGACAACTTTACTCAGACTCTCCTACCAAGTCTCTAAAACAGAAAACATAGTGTATTGTAAAATTTTTCGAGTTTTAATTTTCAGTAGTGCATCAAAATCGTTAACTAAAGTTTAATAATCTATAGAAGTTTGGTGTTAAAATATTTAGCCAGTCACGAGTTATTAACATTATACTGTGTGTTTTCGGCAAATTTTTGATGAAAAATTGACTTTTTTTCTGATTTTTTAACGAAAAATCCACTTTTTAAACCTATTAAAACGCCTGCATTTAAGAAAAATCTGATGGCTGGCCTTGAGAAAACTTTTCCGAAAAATCCGGTATTCAAGAATCAATGCAGTTTCATTTTATCTTTTAAACGGTGAAAACCGCAGATTTGTATCTTGTTCCTATCAAGAATTCTTCCAAAAATACTCACCCTTCTTTTAATTTGAAATGGATATTAGTTTCTTCTGACATATAAAATTGAATAACTATTTATAGAATGATTATACATAAATTTAATAAAAAAGATTTCTATATGTCAAATACTCATGATCTCGAATAATTGTATGCTATAGGTAACAAAGTTAAAAGGGTGTGGATGTGAATATTCTCTGCAACATATCCACATCCTACGCCGACACCCAAATCATGATCAGTTTTTATTATTTTATAAAACCTAAGAAACAAACAGTGGATTTTAAGACTTTGAATACTGCATAAAATTTCTTCAATATCTTAAATAAACATAGCCTGGGGTCTATACTGAAATACTCTTTAATAAGTCTCGTCAATAGGAAAAAATTATTTTTATTAATATCCAAAATTTCATTAGTTTTTCTTGAGATTTTATTCTTAGTGTCATGAATATTCGTAAGAGATACTTGTTTATATATCTCTAATGACATATTTTGTTCTCGACCAATTCCAATTGAAACAATAGCATAAAATCTTCTCTTTCAAGGATAAGAAAAAAATCTCTTAAGACTACGATTGAGACAAATATTCCAAAGATTTCCCGATGAATGAAAGATTCGACTGAATTTCACATTCGATATTTAAAAAAATTACAATAAGTTGTGGAACACCATGAATATCTGTATTTATATGATTTTGTTTATTAGTTATATTTAATCGTTTCAAACTACGTGCAAGTTTTTCTTTTCTGCAACTCGACCTTAAAATATTTCATTTATTTAAAGACAAAAAAATTGAAAATAAAAACCTTTAGAGCGTCGTTTTATTTCATGTTGAGAACGACATCGACCAGTTTTCAATGGTTTATTTTGTTGTTTAAGGATACTCGTACTGTGAACAACATTATTATCACCACTAAGAGACATTTTGCTTTTCTTCTATCCAAATAAAAGTAATTATTTAGTATCAAAATTTTCAAATAAAATTTAAAGATTGATTTCATCAAAATCTATTTACATATATTCGAATATAGAACATTAAAAAACGTGTATTTTGAAGGAAAAAAGAAATAACGTCATTTTCTTTTGTAGTATTATTTTATTATTATTTATCATGTTTAATAATGATGATATTGAGTAATTTTTGATTTGTAATGAAAACAAAAATCATCATGCGATGAGCACGCGATCACTTTTTCATTCATTGAAAATATGGTTGTGTTCTGTCAGTACATGAATGGTGTGGGTGCTCTTATCTCTTTATTCACACCTACATTCCACCCACACCGCCCACACTCACATTTCAACTACACATCCACACCCCGCACACCCACAGCCACACCCACACCCACCCACACCCTTCTATAAATAAAAGGTAAGATCTTTTTAATCTATTTGATTTTACTGCATCTGTTAAACTTCAAATGTATAAAGAATATTTGTAAGACATCCAAAATATTCAAAATTAGCTGAAAAAAACAAAAAACATGTTTTTGATCATGTTAAATAGAGAATGACGATTATTATCAATGACTGTCATCAACTGATAAAATCTAGTCTGACTTGTAGTAAGAAAACTTGTAAAGATAGCAATACGCTATAAGTTTCCATTCAGGGGCGGCGGAGCGTTTTCGATTTAGGGGAGGCTCAAAGTTTTTTTCAAACAAAGATGTAAGAACAATATTAAAGTAGGTAGAAAATTTTGCAATTTTCCTATCACAACTTTCATGAAAGACATGCTTCTGCATTCACTCATTTGCATGCTTTTAGTATGATCAAAAATTCTATTACACTAGCGAAATTTATTAATTAATCATCAACATAAGCAGAAAAAACTTAAACCTTGGCGAAAGCAAATAAAAAAGTCATAAGTACAAAAACTATTACTCAAGTCCAAAAAAGGCTTTTCTATTCTGAATTTTTGAAATGAAATCGGAACAGATGCTGTTCAAGTCCAATTGATCCAATTTTTGTTTGTGAATATGAGGAATAACGAGATGATTAAAACGTTCTTGTGTCATTGTTGATCGTAGGTACGTCTTTATTCGATTCATAACACTGAAGCATCTTTCAGCCGAAGCCGTCGTAACAGGAACTGTTAAATATAAACGCAATAATTTACAATATTCATGAAACATAGTTTTTCCAATGGATTGTGCATTGAGTAGATCGCAAACAGTTTGAATTTTTGAAATTTTTTTTAAACCTAGATTATTTTCCCAGTTAATGGCTGCAAAATAATCAGATAACAAATTCAACTAGCATTTTAAACGTGGAATTTCAATATCATCATTTAAAAATTCAACAATACTTTCAATATTTAGATTATCATCTTCTTTCGTACTATTCGCTGCTGCTATGATAAATTTTTCTACTTTACATAACAACGGAAATACGGACTGTTGAAAACGTAAATCTAATGCATTTAAAACTTAAATTGACAACGTCAAAATAATGCTGTTGAAACATTTCATAGGGACTTTGATAAACTATTGGTGCACGTATTGCCTCAACAAATTTGCTTGGGAGCTTTCTAATACGTGGCAATACTGGTTCGTCTGTTAATGATTGATCTTCTTTCAAAATTGATTCATAAAACTTTTTAAAATAATCCACACATTTAATTCTCTCTAAATATTTTGTTAATGATTTAATTGCACATAAAACATCTTGTAAACAAATATCAATACGCTGTAATGAGCATGATATTTCTTTTGTAGTAGAAAAGACTAGATGGCCTAGAGAAAAAAAGAATGCATGCTTGTGTATTGAATTCTTAAAGTCAAGTTTTTTTTCCTTATTTTATCTTTCTACAAAAAATATCTCGCAAATGTAAAAGCATTTCCTTACTATTGAAACATCTGATCGCAGAATCACAAGATTAACAAGAACTTTCTCATATGACATTTGACTTATTAACCTTTTTGTTTTCAATCTTTTTAGACTAAATGAGACTTGCGATCACAAAAACTACTACTGTTGTTTTTTGGTTATGTAGAAGGTAGAGAATTGCACTCACTCAATTTCAATCCGAAATACGTAGAAAACTTTTGCATTTGCTCTAGATATCCGTTTGCCTTGGCAGAAGGCGGGCCATCTTCAGCACTAATTTCATCTAATGATATTTTAACTAAATCATAATTAACAACTAATGAATCCATTGACGATTCTCTCACCGTCCATCGAGTTGGACACAATGACTTTAAGTTTGGACAATAATTTGGCCCAGTTAATTTATCTAATAGGTGTAAACGTTTCGAAGACTTTTTCATAAAATTCACAATTTCATTTTTTATATCTAAGGTAGATGCCATAGGTGGTGATTCACGAGTTAAATCTTGTAGTGCAAGATCCAATGAATTTGCATTGCAATGAATGTAGTACGCCTTTGAATTTAAATTTTTAATTCTGGTTGATATGCCGGATAAATGACCTGACATTGTTGATGCACCATCAAATCCTTGTCCTCTACATAATTTAATATCTAAATCACATCGAATTAAAATATTAAGTATAACTTCTGTAATATGCTCTGCACTTTGAGATGTCAACTGGTATAGTCCAATAACATCTTCATGTACAATGAATTGATCATCAACAGATCTAATTGTAAAACATAGTTGTGCAACACCAGATTCATCAGTTGCTTCATCACATATTATACTATAAAATCTACGATCTTTAATCTAAATGATAAATAGACAAACAAATTGAATTAAGATAAACAGACGAATGAGAGAACCACTATATACATGGAGCAACCAGTCTCAGCTAAAACTTCGTTCTTTAGGAGTCTATCAGCTGAGCTTCTTTTGTTGTGCTTATGAGCTTTCTGTATAGGGACTCTGTTGTAAATATCAATTCCTATATGAATCAACCTTCACACGTCTCAACTAAGCGGAGAAAAACCAACCGGAGTTCTTACCTCTTTAACTATAATAATTTCCGAATAATAGTCAAGGATATAATTTCACATATTTCATTTATTATATCATGAGATAGATAATTTCCTTCATTTATCCACGATGATAATTCATTAACATTATCTTGTTTTAATTTTAATTTTAATAGTTGTATTAAATTTCCTTCTTCTTCAATGTGTCCACGTAGAGCCAAACATTGTCGTAGCAGAAATTTAATTGATTTTACTTGGATCAGCAGCATTCTTCGACGTTGCGCCTGCTGATGTTGATGTGCTGAACTTATTTGCGCTACTACGGGTGGTTTACGTTGTTGTTGTACTAAATAGACACAATCAGTATGATTTACGCTTTTCTCATGCTTTTCAAATTTAGCTAAGCCATTCTTCCAATTATTAAATCCACGCACTGTAAATGAATAGTCAGACATTTTATTCGCTTGTGGATGATAACCACTTTGATGAGCTTTTCGATAATAATAACAATAAACCTTCCCATAACTATAATATTGAAAAAAAATAAAAGTAATGATAAGTAGCTTTATAAGTATGAGTTTGATTTTTAGAAGGTTTTCGTTCATTTCCTTACTTGGCAATAAGAAAGCCAACCGTACTTATCGAACCATCCTAATGGGCAACTACGCGCATCATTTGTTGACTTAAGATCTGATTGCTTTTCTGGAACATAGCGACCATAATATGTGCAACAAAGTAACTCGCATTTAAATTGTGTTCCATTTTCAATTGTGATGGTGGTGGAAGTAGAAGTTTCTACTAATTCTGATGGCGAACGTTCTTTAGCTGGATTCACATTTTCTTCATCAGTGAAATTAATGGATGAATTGTTTGAACTAACTGCATGATTGTTAGCACCTTCACATATTTTTTGTTTTTTATTTTGAAAAAAAGACGTAATTTGACTCTGTTTTGCCGACATTTAGTTTTCACAAAAATTACTCGTTCGTTCAATTTTTTTTTTACTCTTCCATAATAATTTGAATATTCTTCTTCTTCTTCTTATTATTATTATTAAATATATACGTTTACAACAACTTAATTACATGCGTTTTGAAAGCATCAGCTTTCTCTTCCAGTGTGTTCAATTTAAAACAGAACAATAAAATGATAATTGATAAGTGCACCAGTTTATATATACATACTTGTTCTTTTTCTTTTTTCTTTTATCTTTTCTGAGAATACTCAGATAGATGACGAAACAAAACGGTAAACTGGACGAGATAGGTCATAGCTCATATTCTTCCGTAGCAGTATTGTAAGAAAAGATGAAAGAAAAAAAAAAGAACAGATATGTATACATAAAATTGCGCACTTGTAATTTTGTTGTTCTGTTTTAAATTGAATAAACTGAAGAAGAAAGCTGATGCTTTTAAACGTATGTGAATTAAGTTGTTCTAAATATATATATATTTAATAATAATAATAAGTGCATTCAAATTATTGTGGAAGCGTAACAAGACACTGAACTAATTACAATGTCCTCCCTATAAAACACAAAACAACGATTATTCTTTGTTTATCACTTCAAAATCTTAGAAAAGTAAAGCGGAGAAGATGACAATAATCTTAGTGGTAGATAAAAATACGCCGGACGCCATTGATATCAGTGGCGTACGCAGAAATTTTTCAAGGGGGGACCCGCCATGGCACAAAAAAATTTTTATCACGCGAAAATATTTTTTCCTGTACCCCCCTTCAGGACTTTTTCGTCTCAAGGGGGGGGGGGGGGGGGGGGGG